TACATACTTACCAAATTATTCTCAGATCGCAGACATGTCTAGCAACAATGTAGTAATTTTCATGAAGCAAATATTTTTTTCATGAAATAATTCAATAAATAAAAATGTATGAAAATAATATTACATGAAATATATGCTACTCATTAAGTTGATGAATGAGCGAGAGTATGAGTAGCATACATTTGTTTTAAAAAGGTAGAAGTTGCAAAGTGTCTTTTGGGTTCATGAGATCGCATATTCTCATTGTCGCTAACTGACTTATGCTTTTTTGCAATAGATAGTTCAAAATTCACCTTAAAACTTTTGTTTCCACCAGTGTAAAAGAATTGTTTGGACCAAAGGATTGTAAAATCGCATCGAAAAAGTTGGTAGTAGAGTATTTTATACTGAGTCATAATTTAACTGTGGTTCAACCGTTTCATATTGCTAAATATAACATATCGATTTAGCCTATGATATGAATCGCAGATACGTACGATCTTTCAATACAAACTTTAAATAAAAAAACACTAAAATATTGACATTATGAAATACCATTTAAATCTCAGAAATCACAATAATCCTATTAAAGAAAAAATCTTCCAAATGATAATATTGATTTAGGATTTTAAATTGAAATGAAAAAATATGTCAAATATAATGTCCTCTCCTAAACTAAATCAAAAATCAACATAATAGGGGCAAGAATATCCACTAATCAAATATAGTGTCTTTTCGCTCCTTGGAGCTTTCACAGAGCTGGCCACCTCGTGGCAAAAATGGCTCTTTCATCGGGAGTCTGGATGCATACGGACTACCGTTCTTTATTATTAAGTCTTGTAATGTGTTGGCCAGGCATGCCCTAGGGGCTTATGACACGCTTCTACCGTCACACTAGAAAGTGGCCAAGTGTAACCACCTACTAATGCGTAGTATAGAGGGTTTAGTTCTAATTGTCAACCCGGGTCCTAGGTGTGATGACTACTCCGTGAAAGTCTTGTTATCTAGCGGTTCAAGTGTAGTGAAGGTTCAATTAAACTAGCAAGGAAAGCAGTGAAGGTTATGTTCAAGTTGAGAGAGGTCACCCGGATATGGTTCCCCCTAGATTGCAGTTAAGCCAGGTTGTAAGTTACCAAGTTCAAGTTCAATGATAGTTACACTGCGGGAGGTTCTTAAAACGTCTGCAGTCTCGACTAAAGGTCTCCAGACCCTCTCAATTTGAGTCCCCAGCAGGCGACTAACCTCCACCAGAGTAAACAGATTGAGGCCCTAACGAACCAAACCTCCTCTACCGAAGTAAATCCGGTACAAAATAGTGAATTGACTCCTCGACTAAAGTCGTCAATTCACTACCTTCAATCAAGGGTGCTCTATCAACCTAGGCAGATATTCTCTTTCTAGGTCAAAGCAGAAATAACAGGAATTTGATCAGGATTCATGTCATGCAAGGAATCAAACCTCAATTGAATATAATAATATCAATGGATTCAAACTTGGGTTCATATAATCAGACCTAACATACAAAATCTAGGGTTCTTCATACCCAGGCGAATGTGGAAGTTACTCCATGGAGAAAGAAGCAAACTCTAGCTCAGAAGCAGAATACATGCTGTGAAGGATGGGGTTCTGCTTCTGGTCATCAATCGGCACTTCCCCAAGCGTTGTCCGGGCTCCAATGATGATGAAGATCGATCTAAGGTGCTTGGAAACTCTGGTTCGTCACTTTCTCTCTCTAGGTATCACTTTCTTTCTCTAAAACTCGGAACCCTTCAAAAATGAGCCTTCTTTCCCTTAAGAACCAGCAGGCCGCGATCCCCGGTCGTAATCCCGGGTCGGGTATTTCACGTGCCCGGCCAGGGATTTTGAAACGCAGCGCAGCGGTGAAGTCTTAATACCCGATCGAGGTCCAGAATACCCGATCGAGTATTTTTGCTCTTAGGCCGGGACCCCTTCTGGACTTCAGACGTCCCAAACTGCTTTTCCCTGGCCTCCTTAGCATTTTACCCGGCCGGTTATTTTTACTCCTGGCCGGGTATTTTGCTCTTCCAACGCCCTTCACTCCCATGTCCTCCTTTTTGACCCGAAACTCGTTTCCTGGCCTTCACGTCAACGCTAAGTCTTGAAATATGACATAAACACACAACCTAGTGTGAAATTGGCTTAAAACACGAGAATCGACTCTCAAACGGCTCAAGAATGGAGGAAAAAACATGTGCAATCAATGGTCCACCAAATTCCCCCACACTCAACCGTTTTCTTGTCCCCAAGCAAACCTAACTCAAACCAATGCAGCTCTCCAGACCTCTATAGCAACAAACAACCCCGATCGTCGGTAGAGGATTTCCTAGATCATATAGCAGCTTACGAGGTCAACTGGTCTTCTAAGACGTCCCCTATCTCTCTTAATGCTAGTACTAGCTAGACTCAAACCAGGATCATGAGAAGAAGTGGAAGTAAGACAGACAGTTCATGGGTAAAGGGACTCACACCATTCACAACCAATGACTCATTGTACCGGGGTGCTCTTTCACTTCATTTCACCGTTGGAACCCCTTTTTCACTTTCATTTTACATTTCTTTTTTTTTTCTTCCTCACTTGGCGGGGGTTCCAACCACAGTCTTTTTTACGATCGACCCTTATTAGTCGTGCAAGAGCAATTTCTGTACATCTGGCACTCGCCAGAGTACTTCTTTTAACTCCTTTTCCTCGACTCGTGTGGAGGGTCAATGAAATTAAGAGGGGTCGGAAGCTCTATCTGTGCCCTTAAAAACACATCCTCGAGTAGGCAAACCATTCAACGGGTGAAAATTTTACTTGTATTAGAGACAGCTTAGCTTCACCTTGTAGGAGTACCCCGCTAAGGATTACTAAAATCTCTTCCAAAACCCGATTTTGTGCAATGAACGGTTCCACACATGTTGGGCTTACCCCATGTTTAAGATTTCAATGATTTCGACATGGAGGACCAACTACTTTACATTTCCCACATGAGCACCTTGTTCGATACACGAGTCCACAACAAAATTCAAAAGGAGTCACCATTACCACATGAATTCAACGGTCTTAACTCCACTAATTAACAAAATCAACCGGCACAACAGAGAGCTAGATAGGAAAAATCTTATACTTCAACATCCTCCATAGTGCTACACTACCTCCCTAGTTTGCACATTACTATAGAGACTGTCAATTCAAAGCATACTGAGCATGCAATTTGCAAGGAACACGTACTTGGAGCCCTCAAATCAAAATTTGGACAGTGGACTAGGCTCCAAGCACACAAACAGATCTAAGTAGTCAAAATAGGAACATCCCCCCCCCCCACTTAAGTTCGACATTCCCTCAATGGAGAAGAGGGAAGGATAAGGGAGCGATGTTACCGGTGTGCGCGGACTGCATGAGACGCGAAGGTGGACCAGTCGGAGTGAAATGGACTGGAAATGGGACCAGTCGGTGCAAAGGCACAGCTAAAGGGAACACAGGAACTCAGCGACAATACGTTCGGTCTAGTTGTCAGCCCAATAGTACATCATCCAAAAGAAAATAAAATAAACCAAAACACAAGACAGTTTGCACTCCTAACCAAAACAGAAGCAACACAAAACGAGCAACGAGTACAGCCTACTCGAGCCCGGTGAAGTCGATCTGGTCCATGAGGTCGTCAACCCCATCTGTCGGTGGTGGCGGGGGTGGTGAGTGGTCCCACCGGGTGGTCCAGTGGTGCTCCTGAGGCGGGTGGCAGGACTGGAGCAGGTGCTCCTGATACTCCATCATCCGGCGGCCACGATCCCGCTCCCGCTCGATGCGAGCACTGGTGACTCCTAGCTGAGCCTCCATCCGGTCGAGGCGCTCGTCCACAACCGTCATCCGGGACTGGTACTCGGCCTGGTGGGCCGAATACTTGCTGATAACTGGACCTGATGGTCCATGAGCTGCTGGTTCTGGAGCCCGAGCTGCTGAAATTGGAGCCCCATCTGTTGGAACAATGATGACTCGATATTTGCACATGTTTTTCCCTTTGTTTCTTGATCGTTTAAGCTTGCATTATCGCTTCTTTGGCCTATTTTACGCTAGGTTGTGTTCCTTTGTCACATTTCAGGTCCTAGCACATAAAGTGAAGTGTAGGCGCAAGTTTCAAGTCAATCGGAGATCAATTGGCGACTCGGGGGAAGAAACTCTGGTATGACTTGAAGAAGATGGATTTCTACCTCAGTTTGTGACCATATAATCATGTAATCTTGTAATGAGAATAAAGAGGACAAGACTACGAGCGTCTGGGATCAAACGGCACCTGATTTGGAGTCCGAACGAGGGAGAAACGAAGAATCAAAGATAGGGGAAAATTGGTTTCGGGCTTCTCTGAGAAACAGAAGGGGGCCCTATCGTAAACCAAAAATCCCCTATCGTGAACCAAAATCCCCGGTCGTGAACAAAAAATCCCCTATCATGAACCAAAAATCCCCTATCATGAACCAAAATCCCCGGCCGTGAACAAAAAATCCCCGGTCGTGAACCAAAAATCCCCGGTCGTGACCTAAAATACCCGACAGGGGATTTTGACCGGGGATCGCGAACGCAGGCTGTTAAAAGCCTGTTTTGTGCGTTTTTGCAAGGGAGAGCTGGGTTTGGGTTCCCAAAGAGAGAGAGGGCGATTTGAGGGCATTCTTGGAGTGGAATTGGAGGATTTCTTCGCCTTGGAAGCTCGAGGAACAAGCCCAGACTTGAAGACTGATCATCTGAAGATTCTTACTGCAATCTCTCTCTTCTCTATGGAGTAACTTCCCTTCACTTAGGTTTTGAGGAACCCTAGCTATGTTTGTTTGATTGGATGATTGTATGAGTACTTTGACTTGATAATCTTGAGTTCATATTCAATCTATGCATGTTTTCACGATTCAATTC